AGACCACCCCCCACCTCACTCCACCCTCCTGTCAGGGAGCTGTGGAGAGCCAGAAGTTCTCCCCTCAGCCTCCTCTTCTCCAGGCTCAGCACCCCCAGGTCCCTCAGCATCTCCTCACAAGCCATGTTCCCCAGAGCCCTCCCCAGCTTCGTTGCCCTTCTCTGGACCTGCTCCAGCCCCTCAAGGTCTTTCTCATCCTCTGGTGCCCAAACCTGCCCCCAGCACTCAAGCTGTGGCCTCCCCAGTGCCCAGCCCAGGGGCACGATCCCTTCCCTGCTCCTGCTGGCCACACTATTTTTGATACACACATACCTATTTTGCCATACACGTACTTATTTAAACAAGAACACAATCACACTGCAAAAAGCTCAACAGAAGAGCTGCAAGATGTGCTACAGTAACTCCCATTTCCAGGAGCACTGCGAAAGGAAGCCAAAAATATTCCTTGCGTGGTCTCCTACCCCTATGCACACCAACTAAGCACTGCCATAAATGCTCCCACTTCTTCACCACACAGTGCAGAGAATGGTTTTCAGAAGTGCAATGAAAAAACAACCAAACAAAACCAAAACCTAAAAAAACCAGTGTTACTGTGTCACTGCACTATTTGAGCAGAGGGGATCTTCAGGGTATTTCCAAAGAGAAGGAATTTCAGCAATAAATTAATGTTGCCCACATGAGTAAATCTTGATTTTTCCAAATATTTTTTTTTCTCCAAGAGTGACAGTGGATTTTCCAGATATCAGATGAAAAGCAGCCTTTCCAGATTTGGATCACATGCAAGTATTAAAGCTCCATGAACCAGGAGCCCCAGGTTTTGCTCCTTGCTACAGACTGCAGGAATGGTGCCTCCCTTCTGGGTGAGCAATCAGGGGTCATGGAGACTGTAAATGGGCTTTTTTTTAGCAGGAGGACACAGAGTTTATTGCCTCAACACCAAATCATCACCAACAGCACCCCGGAGACCTTGGGTGTAACAGGAATCCCTCACCCGAGTCCCTGCGAAGAGAGACTTGCAATGGCCACCGCTCAGCACGAGGTGGTGCTGAAGAAGTGCCTTGATTGGAGATGTGCAGGAATTTGGGAGAGCTCGGTGAGCCTGGCTGGATGTCAGTGCTGAGTGTCTGATGCTCCTGACACTGCTGCCCTGCTCCTCCAGCACACACACACACACACCAGTGGCACCTCCGAAACCGCCCGAGAGGACACCGCCCATCTCCTCCTTCAGCCTGTCAAACCTGACTGTCCCTTAACATCACCAAAAAACAACTGGAAAGAAAAGTCCTGTGACCAGGAGAAACAAAAACCTGGTAGATCTTATTTTATGGGACATTGTGTCCCACCAGAGGAAGGAGGGGACTGGAAGGTCACCTGAATGTGACATCTTGGAACGGCCTCGGGGAGGCTGGCACAGAGGAGCTGCACCACACATCACATGCTAAATTGAACCAAATTACATCAAATGACTTAGAAGGTCAAGCAGAAGGTTTTTTACACAGCAGGCACTAACCTCTCTGCTCTCCAAGACTGATGTTTTAAAACACCAGTAAGATAAGTAAATATAATGCTGAATAAAACAAAGCAGAAAGAAACCTGCATCTCCCTCCCAAGGTTAAGAGCAAGCTGAGCCCAGGTTTATGCACCAAGCCTCACACTGTCCCTGCTGGTGTGCAGAGCCAGAAGCTGGTCTGGCTGCTGCTCTGGCTCAAAACCAGGTGTAGGAAAAGCTGAGACCAGAACAGCTCCTGATAAGCTGGGGAGCAGCTAGCACCCCAACAGCCTGAGCTCCAGCTCCTGGGCTGTGCTTACACTGAGGCCTCCTGGAGACCTGCAAAGCTTGGGCTGAACCTGCCTGGAGTCTGTCTGAGTCCTAGTGCTGACCAGGGCAGGCAACTCTGACCTTGAGACCAAGTGTCCTCACAGAAAAGGACCCTCCTGTTTGTTGGCAGAATCACAGAATCATTTAGGTGGGAAATGACCTTTAAGATCATCAAGTCCAACCACTGACCTACTTTACCCCCTCCACTGTTACACCATGTCCTTCAGCACCACACCTACACAACTTTTATACCCCTCTAGGGGTGGTGATTCAACCATTTCCAACCAACTAGGCAGCCTGGGCCAGGCCTTGACA